CTGAAATTCCGGCAGAATCGTCCTAGTTTTACTACGCGCATCTCATTGTTCTCTCTTAAATTATCGGGGCTGGGTCTAGTGCTAAATTCTTTCAGACCGTGAAATCGTAAATCCTCTACCAGGGCAGTGCGCAAGCAGACCTTTTGACAAAAACAATAATGTGATTAAATCCCGTGCATTTCAATCGTTACGGAAACACATTTCATGGGGACAGTCCATTGAGCACTGCCAACGTTAAGGAAAAAACGTGCTGAGTGGTCCCAATGGCACTTAGCAAAGGCGAAGACCACTGAATAACCTCACTGGCTCACGGTCGCCTCAAAATTGACTGACCCAACGAATGCTTCCTTGCGCTATTAGTCAGTGTTCGGGCCAGCGTCAATCATTCGTGAGGACAGTCCAAGGAGGGTGGGGGGGGGGTGGTCATTTTTGTGAGTGACTCCCTTCACTTGTGGTGGGTATGAGGGTGGTGAGATTCATTGAAAAGAACAACCGTGATAATTAACCCCAGTTCGAGCCATTTTTCTTTGCAAATAAAAGGAAAAGCAGGAGAAAGATAGGCCCTTAGCCGAATTTCCTGCCACGGGAGACAGGGGGTATGCATCGCCTACATATATCTATCGTGTCACTGGTAATCATATCTTCAGAGTTAGCTCAAGCAACTTTCCTTTTTGGCCTTCTTGTGCCGGATTACTTCAGTGTATATCGTCGCTTGAGGGGCCCGCAATGAAGCATTCTGTAATGCGGAGCCATCGCCTAGAAGTCAGACCAGCGCTTGTGTCCTTTTTTGGCATCCATGGAGAGCCGCGCTTCGGTACCGCTCCTCTCTCCAAATCGCATCACGTGTTCGGCCCACCTGACCTTCGATTCCTTCGCGAAGACGGAGCGCCCCCGATCTTTGACCGTTCACGAAATTTTCGCTTCCGGATTCCATTTTGTATTTGAATGTTTCATTGATGATCATGGAGGGAAGGTCATATCGCCTCATAAAAGCATATTTGTCGACTATTTGATCAGCTGTTTCCAAAGCTGCTCATTATTTTCGAGACCCGTCCTTACTCTAGATGCCATAATCAAAAGCAAACATGAAAACAGCCGATCTCCTTCTCAAATTAAAAACCCTACAAACCGATCAAGCATAATTTGTCTGCGCCGCGCACCCACGCACTTCTTAGCCGTGGGAGAGATGTGCGAATGCGGGCTACCCTGTACCCTGAAGGAGAGTCAGCCGTGCGTTGTGGGATCCACAGCAGGAGGTTGCATTTGGTTGGGTGGGAGGGGCAGTATGCGCCGTGCTCAGCAGTTAAAGCAACAGTCCAGGCAAGGTTTCAACCACTTGGTCATTAGGCGGTGAAACATGCCCCAGCCCAACTAAAGTTCATAGGAGATGTCACTGAGTTCAAAACCTACCTCTGAAATGCGCTGGAAGGGGTCGAAATTCACTCGAAGGGGGCGGTTCGCTCATTCCAGGGCGGATCATTCAACATATGCTGTACAGAGTCCATGCTTGACTTGCGGTCGTTGCGGGACCGCCGCGACCATTTGAGGTCTATCCTTTGAAAATTCGATGCCGAATGTATTTGATTTTCAATGTGTCCCCTTCGATTCAAGGTTTCATTTCAGCGTGCGCTTCAATTACAGTTGCTAGCAATCAACCAAGTATTTGCAAGCAATCGCAATTGAAGCGCATTACTGCGAGCAGATTTGGACAACTCGTCCAACACACGTCTTCCCCCATCGCTTAACGGCAGAGGGGGTGCCCCTGTCTAAGCCCCATTTAGGCGTTTTCCTCACTTTTCTTTTTCTATTCGCCCACTTTTCACCTACAACTTCAATATAGGTGCTTTTAGCCCGCAAATCCGTTTCTCTGGAATTTGCTTGCGTTTAATGGCTAGGAATCACTTTAGGACCGTTTGAGAGAGAGGGCAGCAGTACTTGTACTGGATATCGTGAATGTCAAAGCGCCTTTGCGCCATTCCCTGAAATGATGATCACCAGTGCATTTCAACAGTCTCACTATTCGCCGAAAATAAAGTTAGCTACGAACCGAACGTAGGTGCTCCTCTGTTACAGTTGACCTGTCTATGGGATTGTGACCTAACAGAGTCCTGATCAAGGTCCGCGAATGGTTGCAAAAACGATACACTACAGATACTACTACAACTGTGGTCTTGCAGAAAATTTGCCTCAGATTTAACAGGAAATTTGTAATATAGAACAAATGCCGCGAAATTTCGTACTGATTCCGATCGAGCCTATTGCGTTACTCTTGGGCTTACCTGGCTACTCTACCGGCCACAGCGTTCACTTTGAGCTTTACGAAACAACTCCACACTTTCCTTTCTACCCTAAATCATCGAATTAAACAATTTCCATCCCAAATGCACCGATTCTGGCTCAAAAAGCAACCGATAACTTTGAACGTTTTTGGTAAATTCTACTGTTGGATATCGTTAGCACATTCACTTATACAACAACATTGAGGTGCGAAAGCTGCAACAAAGTGTGGGATTCTGCCCATCCACCATGTGCCTGATATTGGCGCCATATTTCATGTCCCAACTCTGACCACGTTTGTATTACGTATATATTATTCAAGTTCAGAAATCGGCGCAGAAGTAGATCCGACCTTGGGTCACTTAAGTGGCGCTACTTAAACGTACGGGCACTTTTACCTGTCATGCTGTGTTTGTGTTTCCTTTCAAAACGTGGCCCGATCGGCCAATAAATTTCTCTAGAAAGCTAAATTGGCTATTCATCTGGGTGGGGAGGATTCGCCAGAGAATTTCTAGATTCCAACGAGATTATCCACAAAAAACCGTTGAAAGTAGGGATCGTTGAGCCACGTGCGAGATGCAGCGGGAGCCACATCAAAGAAGCAGTGATTAATGTGCCATAGGGGGTGGGGGGGGGGGGCAGGAACCATGGAATACTTTGCACGGTATTTTGGAATTCCACGGCGTGTAAGGCGGATTCGAGCAAGCAAAAGCAACGCTGCCATCAGTGGCAGAGTCCATACCCTCGCCTTCAAATAACCAGAAAATGTGCAATTGCAGAAATTGACGTGGCACTGACGTGGCATCGAATCAAGAACATCTGTGAGCACACGTGATGTCACCTTTTCATCGAGAATTTAGCCACGTGTGCCACGTGGATTTCTGGCTGCATGAAACGGAGTGTAGCTATCTTGTTGCGCTTGATGCCCTCGAGAACCAAAGTGAAAGAACCACCACTCAAGTAGGAAAGAGAGTAAAGTATTGAAAAGCTTCGCGAATATAGGTCTTCTTTGAGAGCACTGGACAAGTTTAGGCATCAAAATACCCTGAGTGCGGAGGCAGAGAGCAAGGGGAACAAGCAAGGCGCAGATACCACATTGTGCACACGTCGGAGCAAACCCGGCAGAAAGGCAAACCCAACACCGTTCAAGAACTCAAATTACCGCCACTCAGGCATCCTCTGCCACACCGGTGCCTCATATCGGCCATAACTTCTGTTCCTTTTTGAAACACTGATAGACTTCCACTCGGGCAATCGCGGGGTGAACCTCTGAATTATCGACATTAGTCGATGGTTCAATGGTGTCTTCCTTGTGATGCATTTGACAGAAAGGCCCTGCTGGCTGTCTAAATACGATTGAAATGCATCCAGGAAGTCCGTGAAATTGTGAATAATTACTTGCATAACAACAGCTTCACCCGATTCCATTGATAGCAGCTCGTGACCAGGGTGGGTCATCGTTCGGGCCGAGTCACCGAGCAGAGTCAACCCTGCGTTGCGCAGTTATCAACGGCCACGTTGCGCAGTTTCGCCCGGTTAGACACGTTCTCTCGCGCGAACATTCACACTCGCATGCTTGAGCCGTCTGTGTCTCCGCCCATACAGCGTGCGTTGAGGATCTCTCAACGTGCCGTTGCGAAGTGCGCAACGCAGGGTTGACTCTGTCACCGAGTCATGCGAGAAGGATCTTACGATAGCATCCTCCTCCACTCCCCCCCCCCCAAAGGTCAGTTACTCAAAATAGCTTCTCCTATTCACACTACCACGCAGGACTTTTTCACTGCCCCTTAAACTATCGAAGCACACTGTTATGACGGCAAGAAATGAAGACCAACATATAATAGCTTCTGCAATTCTGGGATGGGAGGCAGAGAAGCGGAATTGGGATTCTGCTAAAGCTCACTTGGCAAGGAGAAGTCGTGGTCAAAGCACAATCCTGCCACTTCTTCCCTTTCCCTCGTGTAACAGGGTATGGCGAGCTTATAGGCCAAATCTGGGTTGTAGGAGTTGTATTTTACAAAATGGGTTCGCATTTCTGGAATGCGTGAGTAGAGTTTAACAAGCCACTGGTGGGTGGGATGGGAGGGGGTCCATTTGGATGATATGTCTGAAACCATCCGTACGCCATGGTTGACCTGCTCCCAATGATGTTCACAAGCCATCGAGTTGATTGGCTCTCAACGTAGTAGCGATTTGAACCCACATTTCGCGGTGAATCCCCTGACCAATCCCTGCAGCGATTAGGGTTGCTAATTCCTTTAGTGAAGTCATTTGACTCATAGGACTTAAAATACGCGAAAGACCTTGAACCCGTAACTAGGGGCACCACAAGCAATCGCGCACGTTCATTGTTACTGTATTAGTGCTAAGCTTTCCGTCTATACTGGCAATTCTATTTTTAACAACTGTTTTAGATGTATACCCCATATTTTCCCTGTTTTGCTATCGTGCAATGAGCCTTTAATGAACGTAAATTGACACGGGTCCATATTCATTGAGAGGAACATAGTTTTTTCAAAGAGTTTTAAAGGGAACTTACTTTAACTTTCTAGAGATTCCCATAAATGACTGATAACCAGTGTTGCGTGATGTTACTTGATGGCTTGCAGCTTATCTTCTTTCACAGCTAATTCCACCCTTGGTTTATTGCCCTCAAATCGTAGATATTGTTGAGCGTTATCAGGTCGTAAACGGTGTTAACACTGCTTGCCAGCCGTGTTGCTATGCGGTCGTTGCTGTTGCTTCAGTTATTTCTGAGTATTGTTGCAGCTCAGAGCAATGACTGGAGTAAAGGTACGGTAATGAGGTATTTTGCAAACCACAACAGTTGATGAAATTCCCTTTGATATCTGCTCCCTATATTAAACAACATTTTGGTTGCTTTTTCAAAGACTTTGGCTGTTACACTTCTTATGAAATTTTTTTTTCTATTCTTGAAGCTTGATGCTACCGTATTTCAGGGATTTCATCACTCTTGTCAAGACCATCACATGAAGAACTGCCGAATTTCTACGAAGCCCCCAGCGAACCGTTTCACAAGAGGGTAAAGCGGGCAATCTATGCTACGCTTGGTTTTACAAGCCAGTGCGAACCCGGATGGACTGGACAGTATTGCGAGAATCGTAAGTGAAGCGGTCATTTTAGACGCCTATTCTCAATCAGGAAATCGCTTCGAAATTTGTGTACTGTGTTTTATCAACGTCAATAAGTTTTGTGCTGCAATACTAACAGTTACAAGTTTTGCATTGTCACTGAACCATCTGACTAATCGATAATTGGTCCTCCAATAATGTATCGTAATTCTTCCATTGAAATTATTACTTGCTCAACCTATTTTCATTGTTTTGAAATAAGCTTTTCGTGATCCGGTCAATGGTCATATGGATTTTCTGATGAGTCATTGGCCCTATTTGATGACTGATCATAATCAAGATGTGGCTGAAATCAAACCACGCAGACTGTTAAAACCCGTATTGAAAGCAATTTGGAGCTTCGAGAATTTCGAAAAAAAAAAACAATAGCCATGTAGCTGAGCGCTACGATCTCAGCTCTAAGCGAATCCGACCAATGATTGGTGGTCGCAGGCTACCTACAAATCACGTTCACTGCCCAAACCCTTGACCGGTCTCAACTGTAAGACAGACGGGTCCCG